AAAAAAGCTGCGCTACTAGGGACGTGGCTAGAAAAGCGCTACTAGGGATGTGGCTAGAAAACAAAGAACAACCACAAAACTATGACCGAGAACTAGAACTTTCCAAAACATACCATGACTATAGCAGCTGTATCACCACTTGTGTTCACCAAAAATCGAGGGTTAGTGTCAATCAGTTCGCTGAAATTATAAGTGTAGTTACACAAACAATATGTTGTCCTCGAAGCACTTACGTCACAGCTTCGATAGTGCCCTTTTCGATAGCTTTTTTGAAATCATTCATTTGCAGTCGACTAACGGAAGGATGTGGAATCACCGGTTCGAATGGCACGGACGGTGTTGACGTTGAACATTGAGGACTACGACATTCACCAGATGCAAAGAATTCCATAGCTTGTTTGGGGGTGCCAAAACGATTGAAACGAGCGCCTTAAAATGGATATATTGAGATGACAAGCACCTAGGCAATCAAAGAACTGATATATCTTTTTTTTACTTTCCCAGTCTCTCATTACCAAGATAGTGCGATCTAGAGAGACTTACCATTGGACTTTCCCTCGGGCGAATTAGCAAACTTCACAGCTTCTTTGAGTGTCGAGTATATATTCCGAGGCGATTTCGCGATATCCCCTGGGTAATACACTGCATAAACAGGAGACGTGACCTCCTCTCCAGATTCCATACCTGAAACAGAATCTGGAACTACATTCCAAGCTTATTCAAACAAATCAAGGAAACTTCAGCAAAAATCAAAAAAAGAGATAAACACGAAACTTAGAGCCAAACTACGCAAATCATGAACATTACAGCCGTTAATATTCTATGCCGACTTTAGCATTTACGAAACGGATTCGAAAACTCCGAAAAAACTCGCTTCATGTTGTTCACGCTAGAGCAGTCAGTGGATGAGGGGCACGCCTGCACGATATCAGGTCAGCGCACTAACTTTTTACCCCAAAGACAAACACAAACACTAGAAAAAAATTACGGCGTAATATATGGGTGCAACTTACAACGAAGCTGAACTTGGTTTGGGGCCTGCGCTTGCCAGTCAAAGCAGCACACTAGTGCGAATTTTGATTTCGAATTAAAAAATCGAACTAATCCAGAAAAAAGGCCCCTAACAGGAACTCGTAATCTAGAAGGAGGACCATGACAAATACAAATAAGTAAAGGATAAATTAGAGTACTTGTATAGTACGTT